GGAGAGGTGCAGCAGCTTCTCGTGTTGCTGGGATGAGATAGGGAAGGAGAGGAAAGGGAGTCGTTCCTTGAGTTCCGTCCCTCTTGGGAAGGGTGCAGAGATCAAGAGCGATGCCAGGCATGATGATGTTGGGGGTTTCGTGGTGCAGGAAGCCATCTCTGGTGCTGCATTTCCGTACAGAAAGTTCAGCTGCCTTCCAGGAATTACGCAGTAGCACCTCACGGCCTTCATCCATCCTGCAGGAGACCTTGGGTGATGTGCCCCACCATGGTTTGTGATTTTTCCTGCCTGAGCAGCAGAAGAGGTAAAGGAGCAGCAGCAGCATGGGCCAGGCAGCCTGGTGCCATTCAGGGTTTTCCACCAGTACAGCCCTTGGTGTTTCCTCCCCTTGAGGTTTGCAAGCTCTTCCTCACAAGCCAGTAAAGTAACAGAGACCTGCAAAGCAACTTCCAGCACAGCAGCGAGGCTGGGACTGAGCTCTGCCCTGCAGCCCTTGGTTTGTCATCCAGGTCTCCCTCCGCTGAAGTCTGTACAGGGGAAAAGCAAACCCTGGCTGGACTGAGGCTGTTTCTGGTTTTCTGCTCCCCCATCACAGCTCCTGAGCGGCTCTAAAAGGGTGGGGAGAGTTTCACACCTTTGCACTGGCGCCGGTGAAGCAGCTCAGCCCTGGCAGAGAGTCAGGGATCTATCCTCCAGCACACGGGAAAGAGAGGAGAGGACCAGAAGGTCACCTGGGTGAGCAAACCTCCCACCAGCAGGGTGGTGGCTGTCCCAAGCCCCCTGCAAACCAGGGGAGCTGCAGAGAGGAGCAGCGTCCACGCACAGCCCTCCCTCTCCCCTGTTTGCCACAAACTGTGCGCTCACCACGTGCACGACGAGGGAGGTTCCCTTCGGGCTCTGCCAACAAGTCAACACGACTGGGATCCGCTCCCATGGCTGCCCTGAACGGTGGGAAAAGCAGAGCCAAGCAACGGGAAGCTTGGAGAAATCAGGTCGGGTTGGTCCTCGGGAGTATTCAGGAAGGAGAGGGTCGGGGTGATTCTCTCAGCCCCAGGACAGGCAGGAGACAGAAGAGGTTCTTCCCCCTTCTCTCCTGCACCGAAGGGCAGAGTCTGAAAGTGTTCAAAACCTTTCTATTTTTGTATGTAAATACTCCTGCTATTCATTAGCGATGTATCCTGCACACCTCACTTACCTGTGCACTGCACTACGGGGAAGTCATTTTGGAGGGGAGGGGAAATAAAATAAATACAGGGAAAAAAAAAAAAAAAACCAAAAAAAAAGAAAAGAAAGAAAAAAAAAGAAAGGAAAAGCTAAAGGCCAGCCTGGTAGGGGATCAGAGTTTGACACTAAGCAGGAAAACACCTCTCGGGCTTTGGCATGTGCCTGAAGATTCCCCCTTCCCAGCAAAGAGATGCCAAAGTGCTTTAATGAATCAGGTCCAAAGACTTTCCAGCAGAACCCTACAAAGGCTTGAGATCGAGTAACCTTAAATCTTTCCGAGCAGGGACCAGTGAACTGCTCAGCAAGTGCTTATAGTGATTTATATTTGAATAGGAATTGTACATTTATTTATTTTTCCAGACACCATATTTTTAAACCACTAATATTTTATAGTAGATTTTCCTTCCCCTATTTAAAGAACTATTTCCACAGGAAAAGAAAACAGTACTTTTTTTTTTTTTTTTTATGTTGAGAACATTCTTTTTTGGAAAACAAAACAAAACAAAACAAAATCAGGTAGGAAATGCAGCGATGAGCATTTTTGGCCTTAACCCTTCCCTTTGTAGCTGTAGCCATAATTGTTAGACCAAAAATAATAAATAAAGGCATTTCCTCCCTCCCTTGCCCCTCCTCCTCCCTTCCCCTCGCTCCTCTTCTCTCCTCCGACACAGCTTTAACATCAGACACTCATTGTACAAAGAGATTATCGCTCTTACCTTTGGGAGAGAGTTTTACAAGCAGCTCAGAGGTCCTTGCAAGAGACTTTTCTATTTTCAGATTCACGAGGAACGTGTAAATACTTTAGGACCATTTTTATCTCCCGCTCTCAGTGCCATGACCCAACTGATGAGGTTTAAACTGTGACTGTTGCCTACAGAGGACACACAGAAGTCATAATCCATGAGGGACTGGAGAAGGAAAACCTAATTCCCAAGGTGGCTACCTGTTGAACCTTGCACATATACTAGAGCTCTTATGTACTGTGTAGCAGCGTCTCTCACGGGGACAGGAGTCTGATTTACACTGGAATTTACTGAGGAACTGGATTGTAGAGATTATTCTTGCATTTTCCTACAAATATATTTTGAAAGCATCATGTATTTCTGTCAATAAACATTCTTATGTAAAAGACTCGTTTCTTGGCTGAGTGAGAAGGGGGGTGGGCAGGGCAGGGCGTGTTCTCCGGAGCCACAGCTTTCTGCTCTGTAGATGTTACGTGGGGAAAACACTGGACCAGCAGGAGCAAAACCAACCCAGGCCTTCATGGTAGCCAGCCATGGAAAAACTGGTAATTTTCCCATGCAAGAGGAAGTATGATAGTGGTGAAAAAATTTATAAAACAGATGACTCAGAGGGGTGGGATGCTGGGTTGATGTGGGTGAGGGCAGCCCCACCATGGCCAGAGCATTTGTTTGAGCTGTTGGGAAAGGAGAGGGATCTCATCCTTATTTCTGCATTTCATCCCAGCTCACTCCTGGTCTGCAGCCTCTCCTCACTCTCAGGTCAGGCTGTGGAGGAGGGAATCAAACCTCACACCCGTAAACCAGGAATGGCATCACTCGAGGGCAGCAGCAGCGTGGGCAGCTCATCTCTGTTTGCCTGCAAGTGCCCAGAATAAAACAGTCTGTTCCAGGTTAAGTTTCTGCTCATGTAACGAAGAGAAATAAAAAAGGACTTTGGTTTAAGTCAAATATTAAAAATCAGTGGTTTGCAGCAGCCCATGTTCTAACTCCGTGTTCCTCCTCAATAAAAGTCGTCGTAAATGGTAGGAACACGCTGGATTTATGGGACACCGACTCTGCTCACCAGTGGTGTCAGGGAACAGGGCCAGACACAATGCACCACTGGTTCCACAATTTCTCCATCACTACAAGACCTTCACAGACACATTTTCCCATTCTCAGAAGCGATGTGTGAACAGACAGACCTCAAATCAACACCCTTGCTCGCATATACATTTTTATTAAGAAAAAAAAATGAACAAAATACATTCTCTCCTTATGTACATTACATACAACATAACTACATTTGTAGATATTCCTCGTGTCACTCATTCATTTATGTACAGCATGGGGCTCACACACCAACCCAGAAATCATCAGAGATGATTTATGCCAAGGAAGAAAATTAACTCTCCGGGCTGAACAAAGATCATCCGTAAAGGAAAGGGTGGGATGGGGAATCACCAGAGCCCAGGAATGATTCCTGTAACCACCATGGGCTCAGCACAGGACTAGTCAATATTTAACTTGCCTATTAAAAACAACATGAGCAGTTCACAGTGTTCATCACCCCACGGATGCTCCTTCCCAGCCCAGGGCTGTCCACACCCCTCAGCTCAGCTCTCCTGTGCTCAGGTGTCCGAGACAACAACTGCAGGACAGACACCAGCGGGAATTCCGACGGACACCAGAGGCTGCAGGATTGCTGCAGAGAGGCAAATGCTTCAAGCTGGCTGCCAAAACAGAACAAAAAGGGCCAAACTCTGGACAGGGGGCGGACACTCACACTTCCAGCACTACGTAGGGGTAACCAGCTTTTGGGGACCACGCAGGGGTGTAGAGGATGAGCTAATGAACACTGAAGGTCCAGACAAACAAACCACCACACAGTACAGAGCCACCATCAGAGTAGAGGCAACAGCTCAACAAACAGCCTAAAAAAGCCACCCCAGCCAAGGTGATGCTGCCCAGCCAGCTCACTGCTGTTTGACCCCAAGCTTTCCAGATCCTGGCTCTGCTATCAACTCACCAAATTTTAGCAAAGCTCAGTACTTCCAAAACGAGGCATGGCACATCTCAGCACACGAATGCACGAGATGCACACCACCACCAGCCCGCAAGGACGGGAATGTCATCTCCAATCAACAGGGAATCAGCCCACAGACTTTGGTTCTCTGCCCCTCAGCAAAGTGGTCTGTGCAGTTCGGGGCCTCCAAGGCTCAAGACTCCCATAAACACATTTGTTTGTGTAATTCAGTTCATTTCTCTGGCTCATGGTCTCTCCACCGTCCCCTCATTTCCTGCTGTGGAGGAGGGTGTGCTGGAAAGAGAGCAGAAAATATGGCTACTATACAGCTACTATAGTAACAGCTGCTAATAACAAGGGGCTTGTTTTCTTTTCCAATACCCAGCACAGCAGCTTCTGAAGTGAAAAGTGTTTCACA